CCGCCATCCAAGTTGACGTAAACAGCAAGGAATGTCGAACTATTGCCGAGGGAAAGCACGAAGTGCAGAAACGCCATAGAAAGAGTGGCGGGCAAAAAGGTACGGTCGGCGCGGTGTGTTGCCTTTCATGATACACCGTCGCCGCAGCGGCCTACCACGGCTAGCATGACTGGGCACTGCTTAACCACCAATGCTGCCAACGACATTGCCGTTGACCTCGGCTTGTTTCATGTAACCCTAAACCCAAACCCTAAACCCTCAACCCTAATCCCCTCCGCCCCGAGCGCTGCTTACTCACTGGGCTCAGGTCTCTCCTGAATGCGATGCTTGAGGAGCGGAATTTAGGGATACGCTGTGCTCTGTCGGGTCTCTACTTGAAGGTGCATGTGTACTGGTGATAAGTACGCTAACCCAGAAGGGTCCCCGAACTCTCTGGTTTGAGTCCGGGCTTTTTGTAGGGTTTGCCGGGTTTTGGGTCTCGCGAAACCTGGAGGCCCTCAACCCAAAACCCCCCCTCGCTTGAAGGGTTCGGTCTAGATTTTTGCGTGGGGTTTAGATGTTTCGGGCTGTTCGGGCCTTTCCAGGCGGTGGATACTCCGTTCTCTCTGGTCATCCTCACGGGCGCGTTGCCCGCCACGCTGAAGGACTGCCGTATCAGCCTAAACCCTAAACCCTAAACCCTAAACCCTAAACCCTAAACCCTAAACCCTAAACCCTAAACCTAAACCCTAGACCCTAGACCCTAGACCCTAAACCCTAAAACCGAACTGTGAGGTTCACCCGCAAGAGCTTTGGGTTTAGGGTTTAGGGGTATAGGGTTTAGGGTTTAGGGTTTAGGGTTTAGGGTTGGCCCTTAAACAACCCCCAAAGACCCTAAAGGCCCAAACCCTAAAAACCCTGCACACCCCCAAAACCTAAACCCTAGACCCTAAACCCTAAAATGCAACCTGAGACTCGCAAGCTTAACCACAAAGGCCTCATTTAGGGTTTAGGGTTTAGGGTTTTGAGTTTAGAGTTTAGGGTTTAGGGTTTAGGGTTGCTAAGTCAAATTTCTGTGACCCCTACACCGAGACCAGCAAAGTTCGTGACCAGCCCTGAAGCCATGCAGCCCCAAAGAGTCTTGAGGGGTTCTAGGGTTTAGGGTTTAGGGTTTAGGGTTTATTTTTGTGTGCGTTGCCTTGTATGGTCCGCGGCCACCACCACACGAGGCGTGTGCAGTGGCACCCAATCAGGACCTTGGTCGCGCTTGAACTTCTCAATCCCTAAACCCTAACCAGTAAACCCTAAACCCTAAACCCTAAATCCTACACCCTAAACCCTAAACCCTCAAACCCTAAACCCTTAATCCTGAACCCCAAACCCTCAACCCCAAAACCCTAAAACCCTAAACCCTAAACTCTAACCCTTAGCCCTAAGCCCTAGACTCCAGGAAGGCCTGAAGAAGTGCGGGCAGTTCTAGCACCTACAAAGCCTGTTGGGCTCCTGTGCTTCGCCTGACGCGGACTATAAGGCAACAACTGGCAGCACCTCTATCCGCCAAAATGCAATCGCCCTGTGATCCGAGAACTCGACCCCCAAAACCCCAAACCCTGAAGTCCCAAACTTTGAATGTGCAATAGTCCTGTACCAGAAGCTGTCGATTTGTGCTGAGAGCCTTCTGTTTCATTCTTCACGCCCTAAACCCTAAACCCTCAACCCTAAACCCTAAACCCTAAACCCTATACCCCTGAACCCTAAACCCTAAACCCTAAACCCTAAACTTTACGGGTGCAGGATGTTCAGATTCTTCTGCGGGTGCTCGAGAGTCGGCAGGCTCCGAACCTGGACTTGGGACGTCAGCTTTAGTCGTTGTAAAACTCCAGGGTTGGCTTTGGGGTTTAGGGTTTGGGGTTTAGGGTTTAGGGCTTAGGGTTTAGGATTTAGGGTTGTACTGTAGGGTGGAGGAAGTGAGAAACCAGTAAAGTTTGGAAGCGCAAACTTTCTGAGGGTTGGGGTTGAGGGTCTTTCTCTGAGAAATCAATCCTCTGGCCTGAGTTGCAATAAGTCTGATTGGGAATCTAAATTCCAAGGCAACACTGTACTAGATCCTCTTCTGGGCCTCGTTCGCCTAGATGGTTATATTCAAAGGCTACACCCTATGAACCCTATGAGATCCTCTTCTGGCGCCTGCCCGTTCGTAACAATGTATCATGAGAGCTTTCTATACAGACATTACAGCCGAAGACATCTTCATATGGCTTCCTTGGTAATTTCTCGAAACATTGGCTTTGTATAAGAAGCCCCGACCCCAAGAAATTTTCATCTGGGATTCAACGTAAGCAAAAAAACAGAAACTTTGTACTAGGAGGCCACACCCTATGATATCTTCTGAGCCTCATTCGCAATTAAATCTACATAAAATCCTACATTCAAGGGCAGCATCGTATGACACCATCTTTTGGGGCCTCTTCACTATCATGAAATGCCATGGGAATCGTGCATGACAAAGCCACACACCACGAATTCCCTAAACCCTAAACCCTAAACCCGCTTTTATTCGGAATTAAACCAGACAACTATAGTACGAGGCCACACCCCAAGACATCCTCTTGTAAGCCTCATTCGTAGTTCCATCCAATTAGATTTTGCCATGAGAGACCACACCCTTTGAAACCCTCCCTGAAACCTACTCGAAATGAAATTTAATTCTTATAAAGCCCACGGCCTCAGACATCCTCACCTGGGCTTCGTTTTGTAAGCAAGTTGACTTAGGATTTCAATAAAAGGCCACTTCCTGAGACGTCCTCTTCTAACATTCATAGTCAAACCTCATTAGAGGTTCAACTTGAGAAGCCACAGCTGAAGAAACACACCCTCACAATTTCTCATCGGGCCTTCGTTTGTATTTCAGGTTAAAGCATTATATATTCAGATGCCACACCGCGAGACCTCCTCTTTTAAGCCTCATTCAGAACTAAAGCTTAATCAGAAGTTTAAATTGCAAGGCCACACCCTAAATGAGAAACATGTTGTATCCAAGCTTGGTTTAAAAGCCTTGCTAAATCAGATATTAATTTGTATTGAGTTAAAAAGACATTGTATTTACACTCATTTCTTCGGATTACATTACATGTGCTACTACGCTTGTACACAGAAAAAGCTTCATTCGCTCATGAACAGCTTGGGAAAAGCACGATTCAGTAAGATGCGAGATTTGTGCCTAGAAAACTTGATTTGCGTAGAAAGGCCCATGAACAGCACAATTTGTATAAACAAGACATTTTCTGCGCACTTTGGCCAAAAACATCCCCCAAAGGCCAAACGTCCAAGCCAGAAAGCCGGGATCCCCCACTTTTTCAGAACACAAAAAAGTGTTCCAAAGTTTTTTTGGGAAGAACCTAAACAGCCCATGTGTGTTTTTTCATTTCGCTCGGCTTGAAAATCCAAGAACAAAACGCATGATTTCTTTTGGCCTTTTTGTTTATATATTGAGAATCCAGAAAAACACAAGTGCTTGTTGGATTTCCCCAGGCCCGGAGCACCTGAAATCCAAAAACGCGCCTGTCTTTGTTTGGGGATTTTCCATAAAAACCTGGGAAACCACAACATCCAACATGAGTGGGGGTTAATGTGCAAAAAAGCGCTTCGTCTCCAGAATTTGTGCCTTTATAAGATGTTTGCTAGGCAAAACTCAAGCACTGCAGTGCTCACTAAGTAGCATGTTCGTACTTTTTTCGATTTGTTTATAGGGTGAAATGTAGAAGGTGCAAAACACCCGTTTTTTCTTTCCACTGTGTGCACGGTTTTTCACATAGAATCAGATTCTCGAAAAAGGGCTCAACCGCAAATTCACGGCGTTTTCCGATCAAAGCAGGAAAACCTAGATCATGAGGGGTGGTGACCATACATATATGTATATATATACATGATATGTACATATACATTTTCATATGTCACATATCTGTGCTTTTCTTCCTTTCTTTCTTTATTTCGTTCTTTCTCTCTCCTCTTCTCTCTCTCTCTCTCTCTTTACACGAAGGATATTGTGAGGTTTGGCGCTTCACAAAGGCATTGGGAACAAGACTCGCAGGGAATTGTAAGTTTAGGGTTAAGGGCTTTGCGAGGGCAATTCTGTAGTCAAACCCTAAATCCTAAACCCTAAACCCTAAACCTTAAACCCTAAACCCTAAACCCTAAACCCCAAACCCTAAACCCTAAACCCTAAACCCGCGCTCCGAAGAGGTGCTGGCAGCTTCGGGGCCTCTCTTGAGCTGCTCGGCATCTAAAAACAAACCCTGACCGTTAAGCTCTATGAGTTGGGGGGGTTTAGGGTTTAGGGTTTAGGGTTTAGGGTTTAGCTCTATGAGTTGGGATTTTCCCCTTATACTAGCAGTCCTTATGGGGTTTAGGGTTTAGGGGTTGGGGTTTGGGGCTTAGGGTTTGGGGTTAGGAGTTTGGGGTTTAGGGTTGGGATGTTCCCCCGTATACTTACAGTCCTTCACTGGGACTACAGTACCCCTGATTGTAGTCCCAATTAAGGACTGTCAGTATAAGGGGGAACATCCCAACATCAACCCTATGAAACCTATAAAGCCTTTGAAGCCCATAAAGCCTACAACACCCATAAAAACCCATAAAACCCATAAAGCCCATAAAGCCGATAAAACCCACCATAAGCCCTCTAAACCCTATAAATCCTAAGGCCAAGCTCACGAAATCCCCTTTAGGGTCCCTAGCTTCCACAGGCCCTTTTAGTGTTTAAGGTTTAGGGTTTAGGGTTTAGGGTTTAGGGCCACTCTGAGTCCTGTGAAAACCCCAAAGCCTGAACTCTGAAGATTGAACCGAACCCTCGGTTTAGGATTCCGACTTTCAGACGTCCTATCGGAGATGCGCGTTGCCTCCGGTTGGTATGGGTGCTGAAGGTTTGGAGGTTTCGGGTGGTTTTCATGATTTCTGTAGGTACGCCGTATCCTTTGTAAGCCTAAGCCCTCAACCCGAGCACAGGGGATAATGCCAAACGCATGCGCATTCCGACACCTTTCCCTGCCTTGCCTTGCCTAGGTGCCGACAAGGCTGGCAGAGGGTGAGGGCAGGTCATCCTCTCGTAAGAGGTTCCGGTTCGCGGCCCGATAGAGTTTGCACCATGCTTTTTCCAAGTCGTATTGTTAGTGTCAGTAGCTTGTGTTTGCCACGCTTCATGCTACCAGAGCTACTGCTTTGAGATGTTGTTGGCAAAAATGAACGCTGCAGCCACAACACCTTCCAGGTTACTCATACCTAAACCCTAAACCCTGAACCGTGAACCCTGAACCCTGGTTTCACAAAGCTTGTGGAGGTGTACTCCGACTTCTGCTATCGCCTCGACTTGAGGCCAGCCAGCCGCTGCGGTCCGATTTGGATTCAGGGGCTTCGGTTGGGCTTAGGGTTTAGGGTTTGGGGTTTAGGGTTTAGGGTGTAGGGATCTCATCATACGGTCCGTTCCAAAATTGAGGTTTTCTCATGGGGTGACTGTTACAAGGCGGTCCCGAATATTTAGGGAACCCCCACAAAGGGAGCAACATTTAGAGAATTGGCCATGTGAACCGCAGGGCCCTATTCCTATCCCCTGTGGTCGCCTTTCGTGGGGACGGGGGACCAAAGCCAAGGTCTACTTGGAGGTTCATGGGTTACAACTAGGGCAACTCTTATGATAACCCTAATCCCTAAACCCTAAACCCTTTACTACTTACTTATAACTACCCATGAACCTTCAATTAGGGTGGCTTCCAGAGCTTCAGACCCTGCGGCCAGAGGGCGAGTCTAACCCTGCTTTCGAACCCCTCCCTAAACCCGACGCCCTTAACGACAGTTTGCTCAAGAGCCCCCAAAAATACACGACGACAACCACCCTAAACCCTAAACATGACAACAACAATCCCCATCTTGCCCTTAGATGGAAGAATATTCTCATGCTTTTTGGGGAGTTCCTAAGGTCCTAGGCAAGGAGTAGAGAGTTTTAGGGTTTACGGTTTAGGGTTTAGGGTCCACAAACCCTAAACCCTTGCCACAAATCAACCCAGAATGCCCCGCCAAATCACCCCCAGTCCTGAGTGCACCGTTGGGGGTTGAACTTCCGGGTTTGGGGGGGGGACCTTAACCCGGTCCCCGCCCCCCCCGGGTTTGGAAGCAGAGCAGCTGAGAAGTTGTTTAGGCTTTAGGGTTTAGGGTTCAGGGTATGGTAGCTGGCCTGGAGAAGAAAACATGTACATCCTACGCTCTCGGAAGAAGAGCTCAGCTCCAGAAATCCGGCGCCCCTTCGCGGCAGGCACTACCATCTTCGTTTTCGAAGTGACTACGAACACAGCAGGGACCTCAAAACTACTAAACCCCAAACCCTAAACCCTAAACCCCAAACCCCAAACCCTAAACCCTAAACGCAAGCCTCCGGCTTGAAATCGGAAAGGCGCACTAAACCAGACTGCCCACTTGAAGGTTCATAGTAGGGTTCAGGGTTCAGGGTTTAGGGTTCAGGGTTTAGGGTTTAGGGTTTAGGGTTTTATGCAGGTTGATGAGGCTCATAAGCAAGTCTCCCCCCCGTCCCCTAAAGCCCTTGAGTCTTGAGCCCTCCACAACCCTAAGATGAGCAGGTGTGGGCAACTAGGGGGGTGCGGGCGGGTTGAGCCGCCTCAATTCGAAGGGGCTGGAGGCGTGAGGGTCGAGGTTGGCGATTCTAGCGTCTGCAAGGATGGGCCCATGAGCCTGTTGTACAAAAAAGGGAGACTGTTGAATCCAGGGCCGGGAACAACGTTTGGTCAAAACCTGGAGTGTAAGGACCCACCCCTTCTTTGAGTTGTTATATCTTGATTATGGAGTGAGGGGTGCTAGGGCCAGCTGCTAGGGGTCCTCCAACAAAGGTCCTCAACCTTTAAACCTATAGGCCGCCCTTTAGGATTTGGGGACAAGATTTTGGCAATAGGGTTCGTTTTCTCGGGTTAGGGCTCCCCAGGGTTTAGCGAAAAGGATTGAAGGAACAGGTGTTGTTGGGATTCAGGGGATATGTTTTTCAAGGTTTAGGGGCTCTCTTCGTATTACCCAAATCCTTATTGCTAAATCTCAGGGAGGGGGATCCCTAAATCTTGTTCCCTAGATCTTATTCCCTCATTATTGTTCCCTCAGCCCTAACCTGAAATCCTAAAGAGGAGAGCCGTTGCTTAAACCCTAAACGCTTTAACCCGGACCCCAAAATCCCTGAACCCTAGGCCCAGAAACCCCCAAAGACCTAAACCCCTGAACCCCTAAACCCCTGAACCGCTAAGCACCTAAACCCCAAACCCCTAAACCCCAACCCCTAACCCCTAAGCCCCAAACCCTGAGCCCTAAACCCCTAACCCCTAAACCCCTAAACCCCTAAAACCCCAAAACCCTAAAACCCTAAACCCCAAACCCCAAACCCAGAACCCTGAACCCTAAAACCTAAACCCTAAACCCTAAACCCTAAACCCTAAGCCCTAAACCCTAAACCCTAAACCCCAAGCAGGTGTGATCTTCGACGAGGCCTCGGCTTCCTCGATCAGGCGCGAGACTTTGACTCGGTGGCTCCTCTTAAGCTTGAAGGTCTTGGGGTTTAGGGTTTAGGGTTTAGGGTTTAGGGTTTAGGGTTTAGGGTTTAGGGTTTAGGGTTTAGGGTTTAGGGTTTAGGGCTACTTGGAGGTTCATAGGTAGTTGTACGAAGGGTTATGTAGGGTACCTATCATTGCAACTGGCTATAACCTTACTCAGGGTACTTACTAACCCTACTTACAACTGCCCATTGAACCTTCAACCAGAGTTTCGGG